CTCTTTGTGGCCCACCCAGCTCCCAACTCTGCAGAGAAGGGAATTCTGGGAAATGTAGTTCCAGCTAAACTGACACTGTGCAAATCCAACACAACTTCAGAAAGACTATTTTGTGCCTTTTCACCTAGAAATACACTTACAGAAAAAAAATTATAAAAAGAATTCTTGTATACCCTTCACCCAGCTTTCCCAAATGTCAGCATCTTACACAGCACAGTAAAATGGTCCAAACCAGGAAATGAACCCTGATACTACTCACTAATTCACAGGTCTTTTTCAAATGAAGTTAATTGTCCCCCTAATCTCCCTTTTCTGGTCCAGAACGCAATCCAGGCTCCCATACAGCCCTTACTGGCACGTCTCCTTCAACCTGGGACCGTTCATCAGTCTTCAGAGACTTTTCCAGCAAGTGACAAACCAGAAAATGTCTAGAATGTGAGGGTCTGGAAAGCCAGAAGCCAGAGGACCCAGTGCCAGAATGAGCTGTCAGCCTAGAGAGGAGAAGTCTTCAGGGGATGCATTAGTTGTCTTCAAACGCTGGAGGGCCCTCATGCAAAAGATGGAGCGTTGCCCCATGGGATGGAAACAGAACCAAGAGGTGCTTGGCACCACCCAGAATATTCTATCAGTGAGAACTAACTAACCATTCCCTGGGCCTTGCAGCACTGAGCTGGGTTAGGACAGATAGACAGGCCTGAGTAACCAGAAGCCAGGCAGGGGTGGGTCAGGGTGGGGGTGGGGTGGCAGAGCAGAAGTAGCCATGGAGCAGCAGGCCCAGGCCCTGGTGACTTAGGGACGGAGACTCATGGATGTCAGACTCAGGGGAGAGCAGAGCAGACAGAGGCTTGATTGGCAGGCCCCACGGAGAAGGTGGGGAGACAAGAGCAGGAGCAGAGGGCGCCTCCTCTAACAGGTTTGCAGCCCAAACCCACTATTAACAGGCAGCTTGTGACATTGCCAATAGCCCAAGCAGCGGGCCATCTGTCCAGTGTGTCTACTCTACAGCTCACTGACCGGTCGCGGGGGAGGGGCTCTGGAGGGACAGGGGGGTGTTCTTTGGTCCGGGGGTTCTGAGTTGGGAACAAAGGCACAGGGGGTGCTGAGGCATGCTGGGGGGTGAAAGGCACCAAATCCATGGCTCTGACTCAAGTCTGGACAGTTCCTGGGGCTTCCTGGCCAGGGTTCTTCAGAGGGATGTTAACCACATCTATTTGAAATGTATATCATCACTGAGTAACAAGGCCAATTAAATGGTACAAGGAAAAGCAATCAGCTGCTGCATGGGTAAGGGTGGTATTTCATTTCTGTTCTTCAAAACCAATCCATAGTTGGATTTTCCTGCCAGGTTAGCTCAGCAAACATTTACCTAGTAGTTAACCAACATCCTCATGAGAAGTAGCTACTGACTGTATCACAATGCACTGCCCTCAATACTGTGGCCTTGTCCACCGACCTGGCCACTGACCAGCAGGTCTGCCAGCCATTCATCCATCATCTCTCCCTCCAGCCATCCATGTATATCTTCATTCATCAAGCCGACACTTGTTTAACTTCCACTATGTGCCGGGTTCTGTGTTGACTGCTGGGAACACACTACTACTACTACTACTACTAATAATAATAATAACCTATATATGTAAAAAGCCAGCGACCGGTACGCCGTAAAGACCAGAACACCAGGCCCCTCGCCTACGCTGGCCCTGCCCTGCAGGGAGCGGTCAGGGGCGCCCCTGGGTAACGCGATAGGGTGCGAGTTTGATGGGGGCAAAGTCGAAGAAATAGGGGGGAAGGTCTTAAGGGTCTGCGGGGTTGGGGTGTTCGCCGGGGTAGGTTTGGAAGGTGCTGGGGAAGGAAGAGGAAGATCCGACTGGAAAACGGCTCAGCACAGTACCTTTCTCATTGCGAACCAGGACGCCGCCAGCCGTGGACTGAATGGGCGGTTGTTTCATGCGTGCGCTCGGGGCCGACATGTTCATGGCAGCAGCAGTAACTCCCGAAACTTCACTGATTCCATATAGTAAACAGCTATCAACGCCAAAGAACAGAAAATTCCTCTCCAACTAGAGGCCCTGGGAAGCACCACTTAAGGAGGAGCTAGAGAAACCGGAAGTATTCGACCAGAGGATTGTGGGATGGTGGAGGACGCCTGGGCGACCAGAGAATTGTGGGATAGTGGAGGACGCCTGAGCGCCTAGAGGATTGTGGGATGGTGGAGGACGCCTGGGCGCCTAGAGGATTGTGGGATGGTGGAGGACGCCTGGGCGCCCACCGCTAGAACGTGAGCCTGTTACTGCGCATGTGCATAGTCAGCCCTAGAGTCCTCAGTCTCGCAGTATTTGGACGTGATTTCTGGCGGGAAATTATTACCATTGAGGTTTGCTGTTCCCTTGCCGGGAGGAAGATCAGAATTAAAGGTTTTGTTTGTTACTTTGGTTTGAATCGGAGGAAAATGGGATAGTGACGAATAAGAAACTTTGGAGATAGTGAAGGGCAGTTTGTCCAGACTGTTGAGAGCTCAGAATTAGAGTTTAATTGAGATAAAAATCCTACTAATAGCACCTGATGCCTGAAATCTGAGCGCTCTACTTTTAGGTTTTCCAGTTCAAGTGTTTGGAGACTGCCTATTAAAACACTCCTGGTTGGAAAGTGTTTGTATAGAAGCCCATAAGTATTAAGTATTTGCTGTGTTTACCATGCTTAGCTCTCTGTAAGGAATATGGAATAATGTTAAACACCTCATGTTCTCAAGAAGCTTGAGATTTAAAATAAAAAAAAGAAGAAATATAAATATTAAAAATAAAAAAAGAAGAAGCTTGAGTTTTAGGGGTGATCAGGCAGTCAGGCAGAGCGGTTAGGGGTGATCAGGCAGGCAGGCGAGCGGTTAGGAGCCAGCGGTCCCAGATTGCGAGAGGGTGTAGGCCGGGCTGAGGGGAACCCCCCCACACACATACTCGTGCACAAATTTCATGCACCGGGCCTCTAGTAATAATAATAAAAACATATGTCCTACTCTCAGAGGGCTTATGGTTTAGTGGAGGGTAGGGGGATGGAGGTAACAAACAATGGAACTGTCACTGGGTGAAACAGACTTAAGCTAAGGAAGGTTTGATTTCTATTTAAAACTCACCCAATTGAGCAATTTTTAGAGATGATTCAAAGTCATCTGTAAGGAATAAGTAAAGTTATTTGAACTTCCACACGCAGGTTCAGACTTTATGTGACTCATGAGACATTCTTGGCACTGGAATCGGATTCAATGAGATTCAATTTAATAAATACGTGTTGAGCACCAGCTAGGAGGGAAAGGATCGATACCCCAAAACCTCCCCTTTTCAGAATCAGGATCAGGAGAACCTCTCTGATGGGCTGACATGGTTCCCACCTCAGGACCACGCGTGGGAAAAGCCACCAAGGGCTGCCCCCAGGAGGGAAGGCGACTATGAAGACGTGACCTGACCTCTGACCCGGGAGCCCCAGCAGGGAGCCCAAGTGTGGAGTGTTCTTGGCTGAGTGCCACACAGAGACCATGGGAGTGTCTTCTCTGGAAAACCAGCATGGCCTGTGCACAGATCTGAGCTGTCAACACCAGCACCGCCCTGAGCTGGGTGGGACTGTCTGTGGTCAACGGTCAACACCCGTGGTCATCAAAGGACCTGAGCTCCAGGCACGTCTCTGTCACTCACTGGTTGCCTCAGTTGGCTCCAGTCCCCAGCCATGAACCGGGGTCATGACAGTTAGGTCTTTAGAGCCTCAAGGCTAGCTTGAGAGGCAGCATGGGAAGGCTCTCTGAGACTGAAACAGGGTGTGAACCAGGAACCAGCTCAACCAGCACTTTCCCATCCACAGTAGGGGTGATGCTTGATTACCTATCTGATTTTTACCTTGATCTTGGGTGAGAAATGGCTGATGGAGTCTTAACTCATTCATTGTATTGCTCTACTTTAGACAGTAGTGTTATTTCCTTTTTTTTTAACCTAATGTTTCTAAGCCCAACTTTGCTGTAAAATAGGGTAGCCCAATGTCCCTCATAGGATGATTGTGTTATGTGCCCCTTTTGTGTTAACTCGTTTTATTCTAACAGCAGGCCTATGGGATGTGTACAGTTACTATCCCCAGTTTACAGAGAGGAAATAGGTGCACAGAGAAGTTAAGTAACTTGGCAAAGATCACACAGCTGGGAAATAGTGGAGCCAGCATACGAACCCACAATGCTGGTCCCAGAGCCTTGCCCCTGAGTGCTGCACTATCCTGCCTGGTTATTGTGGTGGAGACACGAATTCAGCCCCAACTCAGCTGGAAAAGTGGCTGGGAGTAATGAAATGTAGGTTGCTTCAAATCTGTGCTAACCCTTGGCCAAATGGGGCCCAGTTCCACCTGTTTTTCTAAATCACCTCAATATCTTGTTTCCCTTCATGTTTTTGTGCTAAATGGTCACTTTAATAGTGCAAAATGGTCAAATGCAAGAGAGAGAGAGACAGAGAGGCCTGGGGAAAGAAACAGGATTAACATAATACCATGTATTATAAATAATAGCTTGGGTCCAGCTGGACATAAAAAAATCAGGCCAAATAAGGGGAAAAATGATGATCCTCTTTTGAGTAACATGTTTAGAAACGAACATTATGCCCCTGAGAGGCTTAGCGAAAAGTAAGAATTTCCCAGGTCAAAGAGGCCTGGGAATGATCAAGGCCGGGCCCCCAGAGACAGCCAGTGTGAAACAGAAAGAGAAGTCTGAAGCAGTCGGTACCAAGGCAAAGGGTGCAGGAAGGAAAGATAGAGAACAGGTCGCCTCAGACCATCGGAAAACACATATATAATTACATATTGTTTTCATGATTAATCACTATACTTTAATTATGTTCAATTTGTAACAATGAAATTGGGGGTCACCACCACATGAGGAACTGTATTAAAGGGTTGCGGCATGAGGAAGGTTGAGAACCACTGCCTTAGTGAGACCAGGATGTAAAGACGAACCAAAGATGGCACTGCCCTCAGGGTGTTTCCTGTCTCCTGAGATAGACAGTGCAGGCGCGTGATGGCCGTGTCATGTGATGATTGCTTTTGGGGACTTGGGGAAAGAGGACCAAAGAGGAAGCAGGTCCGGGCACAGGGAAGATGATATCTGGGTTGCACCTCGGAGAATAACATGGTGTTTGCAGGTGGGTGGCACTGAACTGCCATCATTCCAGCAGAGGGAACTTCACCTGCAAAGGCTAAGCTCACACGGCCAGTTCTGGAAGGCACGCTGTCGGGTACGATGGGAGCAGAGGCCTAGGTGGGACATGGTGATGGATGGGGCTGGGGAGGGGGCAGAAGTCAGATCACGGGTTATGATTTCTAGTTTATCCACTCATCTCTGATGGTTTGCTAAGAACCCTGAACAGGAAACCGTGTCACCATGGAAACCCTCGGTGCTGGGAGATGCTGCCCAGAGCATCTGGTGCTACTGTGCTCCGGGCTGAACTTGTCCGCACTTTTCAAACTGCAGGTCACAGCTCATTAGTGGGTAATGAAATCAGCTTCGTGTTTTAAGGCTAGAATTTATTTTAATCATGACATTGACTAGAACATTGTCTTTCACGTGATCTGTCATGGACAATCTGCTTCATTTTTTAAAAATTCCAATGCCACAACTGATGCTTTCATCACACTCAGTCAAAAAGTAGGAATGAATCACTAGAAGGAGGACCAGGCTCTTGGACGGCCCAGCAATGTCCAGTTGCTATGACAGTCCCTAAAAGCACTCTGCTAGTTAGCAGCTTTATTGAGGTATAACTCACATAGCACACAACTCACCCATTTCAAGCGAACAATTCCATGGTGTTCGGTGTATTCACAGAGCTGTACACCATCACCACAGCCAATTCTAGGACATTCTCATCACCCCTGAAAGGCCCTTCTGCCCTTTCTTCCTTCCTTCCTTTCTTTTTATATTTATTTTTTATTGATTTCAGAGAGAAAGGGAGAGGGAGAGAGAGATAGAAACATCAGTGATGAGAGAGAATCATCTGTCGGCTGCCTCCTGCACGCCCCCCACTGGGGCATGTGCCCTGTCCGGAATCAAACCGGTGACCTCTTGGTTCCTGGGTCGATGCTCAACCACTGAGCTGCACCCGGCTGGGCTAGGTTTACCTTTTCAAGGAACCAGCATGCTGTTTTCCTAGCAGCCGCTCCGTTCCACATTCTCACGGCAGTGTCTGAGGGTTCCATTTCTTCACACCGTCACCAACACTCATTACGTGGCCGTCCCAGCGGGTGCGAGGTGACATCTCACCGTGGTCAGTGTTCGCATTTCCTTGATCGCTGACGACGTCAAGCATCTTTTCGTGCGCTAAACCCCAACTCTGAGTTCCTGCACGCGATGGTCTCGCTGCTCGCAACAAGCAGTCCGCAGACCTCACGTCGAGTGGCACCGGCCGGAAAGTATGCGCGCCCCTCACGGAATGAGGTCAAGTGCAGCTTTAGAAAACGCTCGTTTCGGTTACATACGTGCGTTTTTGTGTTCAGGGTCAAAGTACAAATGTATTTGTATTCCGACCGCTTGAACACCTTCCCGACACTGAAGCAGGCTACCCTTGAAGAGGGACATTGTCCCTGCAAACACGGGGCACGGCCAATGCCACTGCCCGGGCTCTGAGGACGTCTGACTGGCAGCTTAACCATAGGAAGCTAATAAAAAGGGTTGAACTGCAAACCCATTTCATGAATAAAATAGGCTCACTATTTTGAACTCAGTGAGACATTCCAAACACTATTTAAAAAGACGATTCCCATTGTGTGTGAATGCGCTATGAATTTGATAACAGTTTTAAAAGCCTGGGAAATGGGGCTGCTGCAAGGAGTCGGTTTGCTCTGAGGAATTCCTAGAGGCAGGTTGTTAATTCCTTCACCAACCTGGGTGTCCCCTCGGCAGGGTGCACGGCACACGCTCGATTGCATACACGTGCGCACGCACAAATGTACCTACTCACCCATGTTCAGAAGAGCATTGTTCACGGGAGCCTGGCCGGGGAAGCAATCCAGAGGTTCCTTGAAGTATGCGTGGATTTTCAAAAATGCGATACAAATCTACAATGGAATGTTATTCAGACTTTAAACATTAGGGAATCCTGTCACATGCTGTGACATGGCTAAAATTTAATGACGTTATGCTAAGTGAAATAAGCCAGTTGCCAAAAAGACAAACACTGCATGGTTTCGCTTACATGAGGGACCCAAAGTAGTCAAAATCGTAGGGGGAGGGGGAAGTGGGAAGTTGTTATTCGAAGGATACGGAGGCCCAGTTTTGCAAGATGAAAATATTCTAGAGATCGGTTACACAATGTGCACACACTTCATTACTGCTCAACTCCACCCTGAACGAGTACGCTGGTCAAGTTCACGATCTGTGTGTTTTTTTTTAACCACAATTTAAAATAAAAGTAAAAATTTTAAGATGATGCCACGTGGAAGTCACACCACTGAACTGACAGGGAACTTGGGTGTCGGGCCGCACGAAACTGCATTGAAATCCCCGATCTCCCTCTTCAGAGCTGTGGGCACATCAGCCCTGGCACCTGGGCTGCCACTGGTTCTTGGTGCATTGGGGTGGGGTGGGGGTCTGCTCAGAGTGAAGTGGCTGGTACAGACAGAGGGCAAAGCAAAGAACTGTGCTTCCCACGTGCTGTGATATGCCACCCACAGCCCCTTCCCCTTGCTCTCCTGTCTGCCTGTCTGTCTTCCGGTCGGGAAGCCCGTGTGCAGAGCAGCGGTGGGACCATCCGGAGCTCCCGTGCAATCACAGTGAGCCTCGTGTGGACAGCCTCCAGGCCCCACAGCCTAAGTTACACACCCCCACCCCCACCCGCAAACAGGACTTTCTGCTCTTTAGGAAATTCTCTGAACTTCCGAGACATCAATCCTGGGGGTTCCTGGTCAGAGTCTTTTGCCAGCTCAGTCTGGCACCCAGTCTCATAGGCAGCAGCCAGAGACCGGCCTTGGGATTTTAGGTGTGTTCCCAGAGGACCAGCGGGGACTTTCTGTCCCCAGGAAAACTCCCCAGTTCAGGCAAGGCCTCCTGGCTTGGCCCCAGGCTCGGCTCTCATAAAATGCATGCATTCCTGAGAACACAGGAATGCTCTTGCCATTAAATACCTTCACAGTTTCCCAAGAGTTTCTGCGTACAGAATATTCATCCAACCTTATCGCGGGCTGCCAGGTTGGATTAGCGTCTCTGCTCTTATAGAAGAAATGTGCAGTGAGCCCCTACTATACACCAGGCACTGTCCTAGGCTCTTTCTTTCACCGTTTCTTCCTCCATTACTAAGCGGCCCGGGGAGGACTCGATGCCTGGTGCTTTTCCCAGAGCACCTTCCAGGCCTTTTTGCCTCAGTGTGACCATCGGACCCTGGCAGACAGCAGGTTTTAGTGGGGCGAATACACGGCAGGAGGGTACCTAAGAGACAGACCTGCCCATCAGAGGAGTGTGCAGTCAGGGGGCAGGAGGAGAGGCTATGGAACAGGAAACCCGGGACGATGCCGGTCTCTGCTCTGAGCCAGGCCACCCCGCCGAGCTTCCCGGGCTCCCCGTCTCTCTCCTGAGCCCCCTGCTCTCTCTGCTGTAGCGGGCAAGGCCCCTGGCTTGAGAGGCAGCCAGAACTCGGCTCAGGTGTCTGCTAAGGCCCGGCCTCCCCATCGATTCGGTGGGGAGGATGCGCACCTGCCTTGGGTGGTTGTGAGGATTCAGAGCGTGAGGTACACGGAGGGCTCCGCCCCACGCCGGCCCGTGATCAGAACTCAGCAAATGCTACTGTGGCTGCGCCTGCCCTCCCTCCGTGACCTCGACCTCCGGTCCCACCGCCAGCCCCTCACTGCCCCCCTTTCTCACCCAGTCCTGCTCCAGGCAAACCTCCACCCTTGAAAACTGCAGGGAATTCCATGAGAACCAGAGAGGCCGCCACCACCGAGTCCCTACCAGTCCCTTTCCTCTGGAGGCCATGACCCCGCGCACGGCCTCGGGGACAAAATCCCAACCCCCTCCTTCCCATCATCGGCATCCTGGCGTTTCACTTGGCCCGCGGGCAGGAGCTGTGGGTTCAGCCGAAAGCCTGGGCTGGGAAAGCCATGGCCCCGGGGCCCAGGGGCCGTCCATCCTGCAGAGACAGAGACAGGCTGGGGCAGGGGAGGGTCAGAGCCCAGGCCAGGGGACAGGCCTGCTGGGCTCACACACCCGCTGGGGGGCATTCGGCATAAGCTTAGTCTCATGGGTGTCCCGCACCTCCTGTCGGGCTGCTAGTGACATCCCAGAGGAGTCACTGTCCCTCGAAGTCCTGCCCCGCCCCCTACCCCCTGCCCTGGGGTCCCTCACGCCTGGGAACAGTCTCACCTTCTGAGGGAGTCCCACCCTCACTCTTGAGGAGGCACCTTAACCCACACCCCAGCCAGCTTGGGGTCTCTTCAGCAAGACGACAACGAGGTGGTCTTCGTGGGGACATGGCACCGTGGGGCACCGTGGGGAACCGCGGGGAACCGTGGGGAACCGTGGGGAACTGTGGGCTCGTTCCTCAACCCCTGGGGGCCTCAATTTGCTCACATCTATAGCGACTGTGGTGCCTACCCCACAGGTGACTGTGGGGAATAAATAACACGTGATACGTGCAAGTCCCCAACACACCGGTGCATGTAGAGGATGCTCAGCGAGGCCACAGCTTAGCACAGCTCAGCCGACCAGCAATCAGCACCCTGTTCCTTTCAGGGGGCGACTCGATGTCCTAGAAACGAGTAGAGGGAGGAGGAGACATTGTCAGGCCCTGAAGAAACTCCCAAGTGGGTGAGGGAAACCCTAACACTAGCCACCCAAGACGGTGCCGGGCCGCCTCCCTGGGCCCTGCGACAGGGGGGGCCACCCTGCTGCTGGCACAGCCGCGAGGAGTGGCTGTCTGATGGGAGGTGGAGGCGGAGTGCTGCTTTAGGGCGCTCTGACCCTGGTTCCGGGGGACTCCCCGCCGGCCTGTGGGCGATCAAAGCGCCGCTCCTTAAAGCCCAGCTCCATCCAGAAGCTTCTGGCTGTGTCTGTTGGAGGCAGAGCTGCGCCTTGGCCAGCGGCTGCCGTGGACCAACGTGTTCTCACTCGGGGCAGGCAAGGCCCAGGAAGGGCGTTGGCAGGATTCTCTCCGTTCCATCCCCAGGCCCCCGAGGGTGGGGCCCGCTGATTACTTCCCCAGAGCTGCGTGGGCCGCTGGGCACAAGCACAGCGACCAGAGGACCAGGAGACAGGGAGGCACCGGGTTGGGCAGCGGCAGCTCCCCTGATGGCTGTTAGACTGCGTGTCGCCCTCCTAGTGCATTCGTAGGTCATTGCTGGGTTTGGGGCAGGCCACGGGCTCTCTCTGCCTTAGTTGCCTTGTCTGCAAATGAGAACACGGTGCCCCCTCGTAGGCAATGCGGGCAGGGCCTGTGTGCTGCAGGGCCAGCTGTCCTTTTTAACCACCTGAGATAGTTGCCTTCCAGTGAATTCTCCCCGGTTTGCTAGTCATGAGATTACATCATCAATGAATAACGATAAGCTGGCCGGGTCTTACCCAACGTTCCATGTCCATTTCCTGCCTTATCTCATTGGCGGTATCGCAGGCCCCTGGGGGAATGGTGGGCCATGTGGAAATTTCCAGCAGCGAAGGGGAGGCTGGAAGTGAGACCAGAGTGCTCCCAGGAGAGCGACGTCTAGGAAGCTGCCGTGGGCAGTGGGGTGTGATGGGACGACGGCTCGGCCGTGGAGGAAACCCTAGCAAACAGCCCGGAGACACCGGTTGAGATGCCTTAGAAGAAGGGCTGGCTGATGATACTGAGCATGAAAACAAATGACTAAGACTGACCATCAGAGCAATTCTATGACAATTTATGCCTCTGAAGCGGAAACAAAAAAAGGAGAGAATTTGGAAGAAGTTTGCAAATACTTTTGTTTTCTACTGCGTCACCAGAGTTTGTCACAAGGTAGCTATTTCCAAAATTACTTTGCAATTCATGAACGTTTGTCAAAGTATTTCCAGTTTACAAAGCTAACGGACCCAGGAGGCTGTACTTCATCCTTGCAAAATCCCTGGGGTGATCAGTCTGCAACTGTTAGACTGTTCGCTGTTGTTCACAGCTCGCTTTCTCTATAAATGTGCCAAAAAGTAAGCATTGGGTATTACATTTCAGATTTTTAAAATCATCCCCAAAAGAGAACAACAACAAAAAAAATTGGTGTGGGTGATAAATATACAGAGTTTATGATACTTTTATGTGTGCATGATCTAGGTTTCAGTATTTCTATAATAAATTTTTTTGTAATGGTTAAAAAGCAAACACAAAATCCCTCTGGTAGGTATTACTGAAGCACCGGATGTGAGGCACTATAACATAGTGGTTGAGAACGGGGACCTGAACCTTCAAACCTGGCTTACTAGCTGTGTGACCTTTTGTGAGTCACTTAACCTCTCTGAGCCTCCGTTTCTGCATCTATAAAATGGAGGCAATAATAGGACCCCCCCCCAACCCATCCATTCATGGGGTCGCTTAGTAGTATGGTAAGTACCCCATAAGGGTTGTGTTGTTATGTATATCTAGCCCATAGGCTTGCAAAGCTCTCTCCCTCTCTGACCTTCCCGGATGTCTGTCAGACATTCCCTTGCCATTCACACTGCAGTTGAACCACCTTCTCAGCAGGGCCATTGAGAGAGGAGAGGTGTGACCTGCCTGAGTGGCCCTACTGGGCCCCGGAGGCGTGGCATGACCCATTAGAATATTAAATAATTAGTCCCGGGCAACAGACCTGCCCTGGCAACCGGGATGTGTGGTCCCTCATCTATGCCAGAACCTCTTTCTCCCCACACCGCAGTCTCGGCCTCGTGTGGCTTAGCCTGGCCCTGCCCTCTGCCCTTCTGTCCCACACGGGCCGCGGGCACAGGACCTTCTGTCGCACACGTGCACATGGGACCCTGCGCCAAGGACTGTTCGCCTCAGTCAGGCCCTGAGGCCGCACAGAGGAAGGAAAAACCAGGATTGAAGGAGGGGCTGCCAGCCTTCTCGGGCCGCTGGGCCCCTGGGGAAGGAGACAGAGGTTTGAGGCGCCAGCTGGAGGGTGTCTGGAAGGAACGGTGTGTGGCAGGGAAAGGACGGGGGGCAGAAACTGGTGAGGCCCACAGTAGGGCCGCGAGCAACCACGTGGCTGGTGGAAACCCAACCAGAGGCGAGCATTCAATCCAACAGGTATTTATGGCACCTACTCAGTGCCACGCGGGCCAGCTGAGTCCCTGGGCAAGGCCTGTCCTGCCACCTCGCGTTGCTCACAGACGGACCTCGAGGGCCGCGGAGCAGACACGGCTCAGAGAGGCCGCGGGCCAGGCCCCCGCTGCAGGCCGAGCTCGCAGCCAACGAGGGCCCCACCCTTCGCAGAGAACTTGCTGAGTCACCGGCTGCTGGGGATGCTGCCCAGGCTGAGCCAGGGCGACCCTGGGGCTCGGGGTGCGGGGCAGAGGGAGGCGGTGACCGAGTTCACTTCCAAAATATAGCAGGAGGCCTGCGGGCCCGAGAGGCAGCAGCAGGCCCTCGGAGTACATGTCCATTTCCTTCCTCCCCTCCAGCCTCACGGCCCCAAACTGAGGCTGCTGAGACTCGGGTGGGGGGGTGGGGGGGTGAGGGAGGTTCAGGGAGCCCTGAGGCCTGGCTTGTCCTTTTCTCCACACCCTCATGGTCTACGTCACCAACCCAGCCAAGCACTGTCACCTACACCCAGAGTCACAGTGCCCCCATTGTACAGATGAGGAAACTGAGGCTCGGGGTGTCGCGTGGCCACTCGGCAGCTGTACAGTGGTCGCATCTGGACTGGAACCCAGGCCTGTCTGACGCCATACTCTTCACATTAGGCCAAGGTCCTCTCTCACTCTTCACGCCCCTCAGGTCCAGGCGGTGGGTTGGGGATCGCCCCGTCTAAGGCAATCACGCCTGCTTATTTCTGCCCTGGCGCCCCCAACGCCCCAGGTAGCTCCTCCCTCAGGCCTCCTTCAGTTCCCCCAGCCCTGGGCCGGGAGGTCCTTGCCCATTCTCTCCTTGCAGCCAGTCACCACTCCTTTAAGAAATGCCACCTCCTCTGGGAAGCCCTCCGTCACAACCCAGCGGAGCCACCCCCTCTGTGGGCCCCCACCTCTCTGCCCCTGGAGCTCAGCGTGCTCCGATGCTGACCCACAATGGGAACTGACCATGTGTGCACCTTCCCCTGCCGGCCGAGCAGGCTGCTCTCTCCTCCGGGGCCGGGGAAGGGCGGACGGAAGGAAGGGAGGCCAGCGCCAGGCCTGGTGTCATTCGCAAGGAGCTTGCATCAGGGGGGCACCCTGTCATCTAGAGGAGCTGGGGAGGCCGAGGCCAGCAGAGAGAGTGACTTCACTGGCCCTCGAGTCACCCAGGGTCACATGTCCTGCTCGCTTTGGGCCTCCCCGTGAGGACATGACTCAGCAGCCCCTCGGCTCCGCCTACACATGCTGTCCTCGGGGACGGGCCAGCTCATGGAGTCATTTCCCCTCCTGGGTCCTTTGTACCCACTGCCCACGGAAGCTCCCCGGGACCCCCTGGCCCTCACCCTGGCCCTGTGCCCGCCTCCGCAGAGCCAGCCTGGGTCCCCCCCAGGCCTCTTCCCGGGCTCAGATGGAGCCAGGGGAGCAGCCAAGTCTGAACCAGTGACTCACCCCGACTTTTGGGCCCTGCGTTTGGTGAGGACAATGGCGCCAGCGGTCTTCCCGCCCTCCCTCCTCAGCCGAGGGCCAACACCACAGGCCCTCCCTCCTGCAGAGCCAGCCCACTCCCAGGGGGGACCCTTGAACACAGCTCCAGGGCACCCCGAGAGGAGGCTACCCCAGCTGGTGGTCTGAGCAGCCTCCAGCCCCTCCGTGCACATGCTCCCCGCTTCCCACTGACCTTCTACCGTGAGAAGCCGTGTCCCTGGTGAGGCCCAAGCTGCCGCCGCCTTCCTGGGAGGCCAGCTGATCCCGCGTGGTTATGCGCATCGGCCCAGGGAGCCGCTGGCAGAGCTGGCCGGCAGGTCTGGACGAGGCACCGGCTCCTGGGCATGGCTTCAGGACCAAGAGTGGCCCCAGGTCCGTGGGCTGCGGAGCTGAAGCCAAGCACACGTTTCCATGAGAGAGAAAGGAAATGCAAGCTTGACCTCTGGGTCCTGCCTGGGGCGCCCTTGAACGCCAAGGCCTGGGGAAGGGGCAGGACATGACATGGTTGCCGCTGGAGGGGTTAGCCTGGGCTGCCCAGCTTCCCTGCAGAAAGAGGCTCCCAGAACCCTGGCCTCCACCATTTAAGTTAGAACCAAGGCTGGCCTGGGGGTTCTCAAGGGCAGGCTCCCTCACCGACACCCCTCTCCCGCCCCCGCCCTGTTCCTTGAATCCCTGTCCCCATCCCAGGAAGCTGCCGCCAGCGCTGGCCCAGAGCACAGACAACTGACTCATCCGCACCGAGCACAGCGCGCGGCTGCATGGCACCAGCCACATCTGTTTCTCGCGCTGCTCAACTCGCAGCCAACCTGGCTCCCGGCCGCTGTGGAAAGACGAGCCTCTGGCGCAGGCAGGACTGTTGCACCACTGGTCCCAGTGGCTGGGCCACCATCACACAAATCTCCCGCCTTCACAGACTTCTTCCACCCAGTGCGTGGATGGCGGGCTCCGCCAGCCGGCACCTCCTACGGCTCTCCGCACGCCACTCCCGCACTGGCTGGGCTTTCTCAAAAGTAAGCGTGGCCCCGGGGCACTCCTGCTTAAAGCCTTTCAATGGCAGCCGTGGCCCTGGCACCAAGGCCTTGCACTGCCACCTGGCATTTGGGGCCTCCACGGTCCGATGGCCAGGATGCCATCCGCCTCTCCTGCGTGCCTCCCCACGCACTGCTCCTCTGCTCCATCCACCCAGAACACTCACCATTTCCCGAGAGGGCTCTGCTCTGCCACCTGCCCTTGGCCATGCTGTTCCCACCCCTGGCGATGCCTTTCCCTTCATTTCCTGTCTGGCTCTTACATTCTTAAAGGATTTGCCCTCTGGGCCTTTCCTGACCTTCCAGCAATGTCAGATGTTTCCTGCCACCCCTGAAAGGGCAGGCGCCACTCTTAGGAAGCAGGAGCCACGGCCCAGCACATGTCAGGGGCTTGGTGGGCCTGCGGCTGGTGGTCACATGACCTGAATGGCTGGTGGTCACATGACCTGGATGCCCCAAGGATTTCAACTCCTCCAAGAAAAGAACAAGAAGGGTCTAGATCGTGCCTGGGCTTACCCCTGAAAGGCCAATCCCTCCCTCCCCACTTACCCCCACCCTGGCTGCGGTCATTCAGCAGGAGATACCCAGCCCCCAGCCTGGGGTAGAGATCGCGTTTGCACGCACCCCACGACTTCCCCAAACCCCTCCCCTTGACCCTCTCTTAAGGGCACGAAAAGAGGCCCAGCTGAACACAAAGAGAATTCCTTGGCTCCTCATGGCCTGAGGCTTGTGGCTCCCTGGTGAGCCCTGAAGGGGAGGGGGGGCCTGGGGATAAAGGGTGGGAAAAGCAGTCTGATCGCCCCTATGACCACCCAACAATGTCTGGTGGGGTAGGGGATGGGGGGAGGTGGGAGGACCAGTTATGCTAAGAACAGGGACTCTGGAATCAGACTCACGTGATTCAACTCCTGGCCCTGCCCTGGGTGAGACCTTTGAGTCTTGGTCTTCTCATCTGTAAAATGGGTTAACGCTATTGCCCATTAGGTGTTCAACACGGAGCCTGGCAGAGAGAAGTGCCCGGCCACTGAGAGTCACTCGGGAGACTGGGGGCAGGGCCCTGGCCCTCTTCAGGCTGCTGCCATCCAGGCAGTACAGCCAGGATGGGCCCACACACTTCACAGGCTGGGTTCATGAGTGGGAAGGGTCCCCACGGTCATACTCAGGCCACCAGGCCCAGAAAGTACATGCCAACCCCCAGCTCCTGCGCAGCCACAGAGAAGAGGAGAGACAGACAGTCGGGGCCGCGGGGCCGGCCTTTTCCCACTGCCCCAGTACCCCGGGCAGCTAGCCCTTGACCTTGGCCCCCTGTGCTGCCCTTTCTTCCCTCCCCTTGGTGTCCCAGAAGCTGGTCTCCTTTCCCACCTGCCTTACTTCCTGGGGCTGGGGGCTGGGCCTTGGGCTGCCAAGGCCATGCTCATGGTCTTACTGGCAAAGACAGAAGTGTCCCGGGACAATTTGGGTTCCTCAAAACCACTGCCCGGGACTGTGGAGAGGGCTCTGCCCTGGGACCTCCACCCATTCCCATGGTCACAGGCCTCCCTGCAGGGGGTCAGGTGGGGAGGGGTCGGACACAGGGTTCCACGTGCACTGACTAGCTGGGTGGCCTTTCTGTAGAAGAAGGAGGACACCCCCTCTAGGATGGGCAGAGAAGGGGATGTGTGCTCAGAGCAGCTGGGGGAACTGAGCTGCCAGCCCCGCTGAAAGGGCCAGGACAGAGCTGGGCAGCATGGGCCGCAGTGCCCTGACGGAGGTACAGGCTGAGGACAACACTGGGAGCTCTTGTCCCCAAAGGCAGACCCAAGGAGATACAATCTCTTAATTACACGCCCAGGCTTCCTGGGCGGCTGGCCAGGGTACCCAGCGCGCCTCCTCCCTGGGCCGGCCCGGCAGGGACGCTGCCTCCCTCTGCCCTGACCCTTAGAGGAAGAGGGGTCCGGGGAGCCCAGGACAGAGGAAAGGAGGGGCAGGTGCAGCCGAGGCTGGACTTGGACTCTGGTCCCAGGAGAAGCAGAAGGGGGTGAGGGGCGGGCCATGGGATCCAGATCAATTCAGGACTCCCCTTGGCGCTGCCAAGACTGGGGTGGGCGGGATGGGAGCAGCATCCTCCCTGCCTCCCTGGGACACGGAACCCTCTGCCGGATTCTCTGCCGGCCACTCATGGCCTGTGCAGGACGGCGGGAGGGGTGGCCTGGAGAGGGGCGCCCATCCTCCCCTGCCCGCCCGAGGCACTCAGGGAAGCCTTCGCGGGGCGCCTGCATTTCTGGGCAAGAAAAGCGTGGTCAGGCCAGGCCGGGTCAGAGCTGCCAGGCTGTGACCCCTTCCGCTGGTTTCCTGTCATCTCCCAGGATCCGGCACTGAGGCCACCGGCCCCCTCTGCAGCCTGCAGGGGGGAGCTTGTCTCTTTAACTCAGGCAACAACTCTGAGATGAGTCTTTTTAACCCCTAGTTTGCCAGGGAGGGAGCAGAGTCTAAGTGAGAGACGGTGAGCAGGCAGGGGTGCGGGCTGGCTGCCTCTCCCCGGGAAACTCAGCACACCGCTGGCTCGGATTGGCAGAACAATATGCTTTTGCAAACGGCTTTCACATATCGAAGCGCATCTGATCCCAGGCTTACAGGGTGTCTGGGGTACAGAGACAGTACCTCCCTCCAACCTGGGGGGTCGAGGGCCAGCGGCCAGGTCTCCTCACTCCAAGCTCTAGTCTCTCTGTTCATCCCAATGGGCACCCCTCCTATTCACCCCCTGTCACCCTCGATGGGCGATGGGCGGGTGACACTCTGAGGGGGTTACATCAGATGGAAATTGCCATTAATAGTAGTTCCTTCTTGGGCTGGTCACAAACCAACGGAACACGCGGGGGTGAGAAATGTGACTATTGTGAGTGTGAAAAACGCTACTACTAGGCAGAATTCCATTTTTAGAAACTGGGAAGTTATTTTGAGCAGAGGGTTGGCGTTCGTGTTTGTGTGTGTGTGTTTTTTAATAGCCTCTGCACTCTAACAATACAGGCCCGTACTCGCTCTCTCGGGAGAAACCAGGGCACAGTGGGGAGCCCTGAGAGGCTTCTGTGGTTGCTAGGCAACGCCTCTGGCCTCTCACCCCAGCTGGTGGCCCAGTGGAGAGCCAAGGGTGGGCTCCAGGGTGTCTAGAGAAAGCAGCCCCATTTCCATTTCAGCCTGAGCAGTGTGTAATTTGGGAGGCAATCAGCAGGGAAGAGCCTTGGTACAGCCACAGGCATGCCTCAGTTTCTAGAAGTATCTGTATGTTTCCTGTGGCTGCTGAAACAAATGATCATGAATTTGGCAGCTTAAAAGTTGTTCTCTCTTGGTACTGGAAGCCGGAAGTTCAAAATCGGTATCACTGGGCCAAATCAAGGTGTCAGTAGGGCTATGCTCCCTCCAGAGGCTTGATCTGTTCTGTTCCTTGCCTCTTGCAACTTTGTGTGGCTGCCAGCATTCCTTGGCTTGCGGCCGCATCCCTCCAGCCTCTGCCTCCGTGGTCACGTTCCCTTCTCCTTTTCTGTGTCAACTCTCCTTCTACCTCTTCTGATATGGACCCTGGTGATTGCATTTGAGACCTACCTGGATACTTCTCACCATCTCAAGAGTCTTAATCTTACACCTGCTAAGATCTTTTTTTCCACATAAGTTGACATTTACAGACTCCAAGGGATTAGGATCTGATATCTCTGAGGATCAATATTGAGCCCACTATCCATCTCCCTGGCAGCTGCCCCATCACTCTACCTGGCACCACACACCAAGGCAGGGACAACCGAGCACAGGGTGCTGACCCCAAGGGCCTGCCCCTCCTGGGGGTGTCTTGTATAAACCTGAAACAGAGCTTCTGGGAGGAGCGGGGTGTTGGACTCACAGGCAATGGCAACACCCTATAGGCCTCCCGTTATAGCCACACAAAAAACATAGGAACTAAAAACCAGAGGCCAGAACTGTGAGAACTTTGGCAAAAAAAGCTTTATTTTTTAATCACACCATAAAAATTCCATAAAGAAATGGGAAAAATAGAAAATGTTAATCCTTCAGAATCCTAGCCTCCAGAGATAATAAAAAAAACTTGTTGTAGAAAGCCATCTTCCTCCTAGATCTTTTTCTTTTCAGATAGAATGAGACTATACTTAATACTTTTTCAAAGTGAAAGTATAATGATACTATACATTCTGCACTTCGACCTGTTTTTTTTTTTCAGTAAGTGGTATATTTTGGGCGCTTTCCACAGCAGTACAAGTAGCATTTCTAAAGGCTCCTGAGGGTACCACTGTATGGACAGACCATGAATTAGCTACCCTGTTGACAGGCATTTTGGTTTTTTTTCTAATTTTTTCAGCTGAAACAAATGTGGTAAGACAATTCAGTGAGATACTAGTATCTGACTTGCTACCGGAGGCTCACAAAGATGGGGAGGCACCCTTCTCTTCCCTCCACAGACCGCCCCGATCACGCCAAAGCCATCAAACCTTGGGTGAAGGAAGCCAGGGCTTCCCTACCTCCCAGGAAGAGTGAATAGGCCTTTGTTTTCCGTGGCTGAGCCCACAGAGACAAGGAAGCGCATTGTCTAAGAGGGGGAAGGGCTCTGTGTTTGTGGGGAAGCTTCCATGGCAAGCACACAAACATCACCTCCTGACCTGGCTTAGACAGTGTAGAGAACGTATTGCCTCCTGCATCCGAAAAGGCTGGGT